ACACAGGCACTGCTGCGCCGGCATGCCAAGCGCCTGAGACGGCCCATGCCGAATTCCGCAACTGCTACCAGAACAATGGCGAAGACGAGTCCTTCACACATGCGCGGTCAGTCAACGTGGTATGGCGCCAGTGGGCCGTCGGCCGCCTGCAGCTGCCGCCGTACCCGCCGAGCGCATCAACTGGAACAAGGACGCGGACCCAGTGTTTCTGTACGCACAGATGCCGGCGCTGCGGCTCGAGGTGCCGTGGTCAGCACACTCGCTGTCGCTGACGTCAAAGGAGAGCACTCCAGTAGCGGCTGCACCGATAGCCGTGCCGCTGAAGCCGGCACTGAAGCCGGCGCTGAAGCGGACGGACTTGCAGACATTCCTGACTTCGCCGACGCTGAGCCCGGCGTCAAGCCCGCCGTATTCGCCGATGCACTCGCCAGCCATGTCGATTCGCGAGAGCATGTCCACGAGCTCCCTGGGCTCTGACACGACTCTGGAGAACACGCCAGCGGTGCAGGAGGGCGGTATGCGGCCGCGCCTGCGCTTCAACGATCAGGTCGAGCAGTGCATGGTGGTGTTCAAGCAGAGCGCGAGTGTCTGCCCGCTGACTACGAGGATAACTGCGATGAGGAGGGTGACGCCGCGATGCGTTATACCAATAATGCCTGTGCGGCGTACCCTGCGAAATGGCGGCGCTGCCAGCCGCGGCCGCCGCTCGCTTGTGATCAAGCTTGCTCCCACACAGCTCAAGGGAGACCACCGTAGGCTGACGGCCACGCCGGCCCCAGCCCTCAGTCCGCCGCCAAGCATGTACGACGATAGCGACGATGAAGATCTGTTCAATGACTTTAACAGTGGCATTGCGCTCTTTGGCGGTCCCACGCCTGCCGATCGGATTACCAGTGCGCACTTGAGTCACAACGCCATTCCGGGTGACAGCAAGAATGGCGTCAGTGGATACGTGCAGGGCTACGTCAGTCGGTCGCAGGCCAGGTCCGCCGCTTTGTCAGCGATGCTGTGTCGGTCTCGTCGTTCACTGTCGAGAAGCAGGCTCGGTCGACCACCAGCAGCACCTCGTCAACCTCGGTGGCATCGTACGTGCCTGACCCGTTTGCTGCGCGGCACACCCAGCAGCCCTCGACGCCCACTGCGCCTTACATGAATGCTGGCTCCAGCATTAGAGCAACCAGTGATACGCATTGTCATCAGGCCTCCACCGCTGCCTCCTCGAGCATTGTGCGAGACCCGTTTGCAGCTGCAAACCACAAGAGCTCCCACGCCGACCGTGTGCCCTTTGATGATGACGAGGACGCAATCATCCAAGAGTTCGAGCGCGAGATGCAGCAGTACCACTACAAGCCTGCCGCGGTGACGAGTCCCTCGACATCATTGCCAAAGCATCACGCTGGCTATGCAGCCAGCGGTAATGTGCATCATGCAGCACAACCACGCGATCGCGATGCCTACATCGGCAGCGAATACCACTTCCATGGCATTGATGACGAGGACGACGACGACATGGCCGCGTACAGCACCCGTATGGATCTTGCTGAGCCCCACAGCGCCTATGTGACAGCGGGGATCACCGCTTACCTCAACCGACAGTCTCGAGCGGAGCAACACAGCCGGCGGCCCCAAGCAGTTCCAGCAGCGCCATGATTCACTCATTGACCGTGCTGAGGACACTATCGTCAACACGGTCGATGCCGTCAAGTGGTGTGCGTCCTTCATCTCCAACTACACTATCTTCTGAGTGAGTGCGTAGTAGGCTGAGCGGGACGGTTGCCAGACCTTGAGGGGCTGAGCGGGCAATGCCCAAAAAATACCTTGCATTCTCTGTGTTGTATTCACCACTCTACACCAACCACCCCTTTCTCGCTCATCTAGCTGTCATATTTCTTTACCCTTCTTCCCACTCGTAGCTTGTACATGTCCTTTTCTCAGTTCACTTATTGTCGTTAGTTTTGCATTATACACACTCCTCTCAGCTGGAATTCACAATGTCTTGCAGCACTTTTTTCGTAGCCACATGTCCAAACATGCATTGTTCAATATCTCTTGTGCATGCATGCAATCCCAGTTCACAGCCAGAAATCCAGCTGGAGAGGAATGACATTGATGCCCAGCTCGCCCTTTGCAGCTTCTCTGCACGACCCCTCTGAAAAAGGATGCACTGAGCTGTGGAAAGGGCGCATACAGCACCATGCATGCAGACACGGGAAGTAGATATGCTGAGCACAGGCCAGCACCATATCGCAGCACCGCCTCCTGCCATCTCCAGTCACAGATAATATATACATCTTGGCTGTTCTCTTTTGGGGAAGGGGAAGAGCGCATGGGCCTGTCACTGCTTACTGTGCTAGTGACTGCTCCCCATAGAATCCTCCAGCTGGCAGTTTCTGCCTGGATCCCACCCGAGCGCAGGTCACACTGGTTTGCGGGGAGTGGGAGGATCGCCACTTCCAGCTCGTAGCAACAGAAAAGGACGCAGACGACGGCTGCCCTGCCATTTCCCAGGTGACCAAAGAGTCCAGCACGTTTGTGCTGCTATTTGGGAAATAAGCGCAAATACACCCACGAAATTACGCACAATTGGATTTAGTCCCTTGCGGAGGGGGTGCGGTTCTCCCTGATTTTTTTGCCAGCTCCAGGGCTCGACTACACATAGCCGGATCCCGGTGCCGCGGTACACATCTGAGCGATACATGTCTCTTTTTTACGAATGGGATGTGGAGGAAGAAAAAAAAAAGCAGCCTTCCTATAGCCTCCCCCATTCACCATACTTGCCATGCATGCTCTTCAGTGGATATATTGGGTGGTGATTGCTTTTCGCCGTTAATGGATTGCCACCACTACGGTTTTTTTCAACACATGTTCTACCTAATTACAATATCATTAATAGCGCTCTTGTCTGCGCGGCTGTACTGGGTGCTACCGGCATTCGCCACACGCTCCGCCGTCGTCGCGGCTTCGGAAAGGCAAGGAACCGAGCACAGGCGGCAACAAGGTGCTCTGTGTGGTGCTGGGGTCGGGCGGACACACAGCCGAGATGGTGCGGCTAATGCACGGCATAGATTTCGAGCGATACACAAAGCGCCTGTATATAGTCAGCGAATCAGACGCGCTGTCGGCAAACCAGATTGCAGAGATTGAGCGGCCGCTGATGTCCGACTATTCGCAGGATACGTAGTCGGCCGGGTACCCCGCAGCCGCCAGGTCGGCCAGTCGCTGGTGTCGGCGCTCATATCGGCTGTACGGTGTTTGGCGGCTACTGCGTGGCTGCTTCAGTCGCATTTGCCTGACATCGTCCTGTGCAATGGGCCGGGGAATTGTGTCATTGTGTGCGTGCTGGTCATGGTGCTGCGGGTGCTGGGCGTGAAGCGGATCCCGATCGTGCATGTCGAGTCATTCGCACGCGGTAAGGATCGCTCTCGCTGTCAGGCAAAATTGCCTATTACCTGGCCGATCGGTTTATCGTGCAATGGTCCTGGTCTGCAGCAAAAGTATCCACGGGCCGAATACATTCCAAATCTCGTCTAGCATGCCATATATTCTCCAGCCAAATATCTTTTTCTATTTGTATTTGAAACTGAAATTCTTGAAGCAACACGGGAGTTTTTTTAGAACAGCTTCTTGTACCGGTTCTTGATCTCGCGCATCACGTCCTCGGGGAACGGCGGGATGCCCGGCACTGCGTTGAACGTGACCTTCTGGACCGCATCTGGATCGGTGTCCAGCACACCGTCTCTCCACGTCTTCTGGTACGACAGATCGACCTTCTTCGGGATATATGTGCCAGTGCCCACCGCGTACCTGCGCTTCTCCTTGACGCCCGTCTCCGGATCAACATAGCTCGCCAACCGCACCTTGGTCGGCTGGTTTGTGCTCGGATCCACCAGCGCCACATTCGACACATGGATCGGCATCTCCTTCTGGATCTTGCCTGTCGGTGACTCCTGCGTCTTGGGCACCGTCTTGAATGCCAGCTTGAGCCCGCGCACGTACACGCTGTTGGTCTTGCGTGCCACCTCCGTTACCATGGCCCGCTGGCCCCGGTCTTTGCCCGAAATCACCACTACTTCGTCGCCCTTGATGATCTTCCACTTGCCCAGCCGCAGGTGCTTCGGCAGCGTTTTGTCCCGCGGCATGGCGCGTGTGCTGGTGGATTTGAGAATCGAGCGGTGGAGACGCATTCTTTTTTAACGCTTTTCTTTGTTGGAGTCTGAATTCGGTAATGACCACGCGCAGCTGCTTCCTTTTTGCTTGGCGAACGTCGTGGTGAATTAAAGGAGAGAAGAATGCAAGAACGAGGAATTAATAGACCGTCGAAAGGAGAAATGCAAGAATTTCGAAATAACGGTGAGACGCTATCATTTTTCCCCGATCATAAGGCGTGATCGGCTGATTAGCAGTGTGATCAGTACACAGACACTTTTTGGAGCTTGTCGCCCCGATCTGTTCGCTCTGCGCTTGACTCAAGGGACCTGTGGGCGCTTGTAGAAGAGAGCGCAAGTCCCAGTGGCATGTATATCATCTGCTTTTCGATGAGCACTGCCAACATAGCTTTTTGTTGGCCCATGTTTGTAGCTGCATATTCAGCAAAGTATGTGGCTATTTCCTCGATGGAATTGAGCCATACCCCATAGATCCTGCCATCCAGCAGTGCATCTACGCAAAGAGATGGTCATCGCAATATGCTGGTACCGGTCCTGGTGTGGGCTATGTGCATAGTCAACTACCGTACCTGGAGGCAGAATGGCCTCCAACTTAATGGCGATAACTATAGCTACTCACCAAATTACAATTACTCTCGATATGATTCTGTCAAAATTGCTTATAGATACCAAAGCAACGGAGGGCTGTTACTTGTTTGATTGTAATCGTCTCTGTCTGATGTGGACACAACCTCAATCGACACTGTTGCAATTTCAGACATTAACTTCGTATAACCAGCAATACTTACAGTACTTGTGACTCAAGTTAATGAGAGGTGTTTAAAATATTGATGACAACAATTTATAATGGAACTAGATAATGTTGCATAAGTAGAATGTTTAAAGTAAAGAGCTGGATGTTTGTCTAGCCATGCCTAGAACATAAGCGAGGGTGGCAACAAGCATGTCTTTTTCCCTAACTCGCTCCTCAAATGGGTTGAACCGCATGCCGCCAGCAAACGCAGTGCCTTTGCAGCGGATACCACCGAGAGATGGGTTCCAAAATAAATTGGTGTAGATATCTCTAGTTAGCGTCCGCAGATACTCGATATCAGGCTGGCGGTTGTTAAAACGGCGGATTAATAGGCTCTCAAAGGCAGGAAGGGATCCCAGTGCCAGTGTCTTTAATATCCCGACCATTGGGGCAGCACTGATGCACCAGCTTCTAATTGCCAGCATCTCCATATTTCCGAGTGGTTGACCACGATTTTCTCCGACACCGGCTGTTGCGCAGAGACACAGTAGGTAGAGTAGCGATTCCCAATCGTCCAGCTCTGTCCGCTCCACATCCGAGCCTTGAAGATTGTTGATGCTCCTATAGAGGAACATCCCCACATTCACTGGGTTTGGCGGCTGACGCTCGCTTACATCCACTGCGCAGCCAAAGTCCAATCAGTAGTCCACGGGGTGGTTTGCCTTCGTCACGCACAATAAGGATGTTTCTTTCGGAGATGGAACGATGAAGGATGTTGCACCGTCGCAGTACCTCGGTGTGGCAGCGCATCACATCACTTAGTACAATGATAACCTCATGGAACAGATTCAGCAGTTCCTAGCGGTTCCCCGATTGGCGATATGACTAAACGCTTGTGTGCGCGGAAAGGTATTGCTGTGCTGTCTGGCATGTGCATCGAGCAAAGTGGGCCCAGTATGTTCTTGGTGTTATCCTCAAATCGGCCCCGGTCAGTATCAATTACAACGCGGCCACCAGCATCGAACTTCAGATAAAACAAGTCCTCGACATCCGAGTTTGCTAATTCCTCCGTGATTCGGCGCACAAACTGAACCTCGTCTCGCCTATCTCTGGTGTGGTCCTCCGTGGCTTCCGGCCATGCATCTTTCAAAATAAACTTGGGCTTGACTTTGTCACCAGTGGGCTTCTCGTCTGTCACCAAGAAGCAATCGGTATGTCGTCCAAAGAGATCGATATCACTAGGCAGCATCGTATCAAAATAATATATCTTTGGCCTACCATTGCCGGACGAATCGGCTGCTGTATCTGGACACTTGATCACCCAGCAGTTATTATCCTCATCCCTGTGGATCGTAGTGTCAAATCCCAACTGGTCCTCATCACAGAGAGGACCAATTAACTAGCAGCTCAATAAATTGAAGGCGACCACCTGCTGTTGACATGTCGAGAGCGCTGGACGAGAAGACCGCGTCGTTGGAAAATAGGCACACTCGAACCTCGCTATCGCAAACAGTCAAGCCAAACACAAAGCGCCGGCCAAACTCAGAGTTATAGAAGTTGTGTGTGCTCCGCATCAGCTGCGCGTACGCCTTGTCAACGATGCCGGGATTTTACTTTGTCGTGCCTCGATGATTGCTATTGCATCGCCATAGTAGAGATTGTTGATCAGCTTGATATCGCTGTTTCTGTACTCTATAGTGATACCAGCCCCGATGGCTGGAGAGTCACCATCATTGCTAGGCTCATAGTCTTGAATCACGCATGGCAGGACATGGCGATATGCACAAAGGTGGTTTCGCAAAGGTGCATGGGTCCAGTGCACTAATGAAACAGTCGATGTGTTGAGAGACAAAATATACAAACGACTGTACCGATGTGTGGATCTGCTTAGCATCGTCCGTGTCGTCGCCATGCATACTCTCCAGTGGTGCAGATGGCGACCCTATAGGCTGTTGCTGTATTGGCCTAGGCGAGATCCACTCCTGAAATACTGCAAATGCGTTGGCTGTGGTTCCGCTGCGCTCGTACTTCTTCTTCGCATATGCTGCTGTGTCGAATAGCGGCCGCTGTCGATTGTTGCTGTAGGGTACAAGCTCATCAAGAGCTGGCAGGGTTATACAGGTGTCAAATATCGCATATTTGCTGGTTGCGTTGAGCCGATGCTCCAGATCAGCTGAAATGTGCTTGGAAATGTTGATGGCAAGCACTCGCGAAGCAGCGCTCCGCGGTTTCATCATGTCGAGCACTGCATTCGCATCTCTGATGACCCGTGTCTCGACCCACATATCCTCCTTGGTCTTTACCTCATCGCCACTCCCGCTGTTGTCGTTCTGCTGCTTGGTATCAAGTGAAGAATCTTCTGTAGATGATGCTATACTCGAGGTGGAAAATGCTGTGGAGCTGGAAGACTTGTTTGACGCGGTAGCGGCCCCAGCATCGCTGGTATCTGAAGACTGCTTCTGTGCAAGAGCAAGTTTGCTGTCCATTTTATGAAAGCGCAATGCGAAATGTTATTGCGTATGAAAAAAAAACTTAGAAAAGAGAATGGATACCAAGGTGGTTTCAAACGCAAAGCTGTCTTTTATATGTAGAGCAGCAGACAGCGCTGTTGGCCACATAATGCCAACACGGATAATCAGTCGTTGTTGACGTTAAGATCAAACTGTTTACACAGTGCAGGAGCAGATCGAATTTGATCTAGCCAGCGTCCGCCACACATCAGATACCAAATATGGCTATGAATAGCTAGCGCATAGTCATTAATAAAAAATCTTGACTACACTCGACAGATTTGAATCAGGCATGCCCTGTTCTCCATTGGTGTTGCTTGTGATACTGGTTCAACCAGGGCTAAATTGGCTAAGTAAACTGATTGACCCCCTGTATCGGGCGTACTGCGCACCTGCAAAAACATATGTTCAAGGATTATAGCCAGAGAAAAGTTCAATGCTCGATATCGAGCTTTTCTATGCTCCAGTGACAAGTATAGGCAGGTTTGGAGTAGTTACAATTTATGTATTCACCTGCTCTTCAAATGGATCTACTCTATGCTTCCCTGCATTAGCCATCCCTGTGGTTGATCTTTCGTAAAGTACATCATCAAGGCATTGATGAATAAGCTAACAAGCATATATTTTGTCAACAGGACATTGTAAATACCTTTGTTTGCAGCTCTTACTAGGACCAGCAAGATACTTAATATTCCCAAAGTCTCTGTTAGAAGGTTACAAGCGATACAAGTAGAGCGTGGAGCAGGCTGAAACACCCAAAGATATATGTATTGAAAAAGTGTGAAAGAGTGCAGAAAGGCACTAAGCAAGTAGAAAAATATAGAAGAAAGACAAGGAGGATCTGGTCCAGTATTGGACTGGGTAGCAAGATATAAAGAGAAAACAGGACAATGAAATGAGGAAAATCTAATTCTGATAGCTCTTTCCAGAAATGCTGCTCATGTGTTTGGGAGCCGTCATTATAGAAATGTCTGGTATGAAGAATATGTTGATGTCAAAGTGGAGAAAGGGAGAAAGGAATAATAAAAAGATGCACTGCGGAGCCGTATCGGCAGGCCGATATAATTTGATGCTGCTACTGCTAGCCACATAGCGGCCTACAACGAGCTGCCAGAAATACCCCGTGCTTTCAACACAGCCGCATACGCAGCACATCAAAAACTACAACTCATATACGCTGAGGTGCCTGCAGTAGGATGCTTGTTGGCGTTTGATTCATCATTCATATCATCAGCTGCAATGTTAACATCCGGGACGGCCCCAGCTAGCGCGCAATAGGCCGTGATATATCATACCTATACCATACTCTACCATGCTACTCTTCAAGCAAAATGAGCTCATTTATTCAGCATACCTGGCTAGCTTGGGTTCGTTGTATTCAACAAACGCGCCAGTTAACTCATGGTCTGCGTGGAGGGCAAGATTCCCGATGATGCGTCCAGGAACATCAGCTTCAATCATGGAGGGTATAGATAAATCGCCTGCTGAGCTTTTACTTGGCTCAACTCCAAAGGCCTTGTAAAAGAAAACACGAGTCATGTCTGTGTTGACAAGTCCTGGATGAATCGCAACAGCGGTAATGTCTGGCTCTTCTGATGCTAAAGTTGCAGTGATATAGTTAATAGCTGCCTTTGTTGCGCCATAGCAAACTGCTTCCTTGAACGGGATCTTGTAAACAGTGGATGACAGGTTGATAACCCTGCCTTTGGACTGGCGCAATTGCGGTATAACCCTCTGGGTCATACTCAGCGGGTGCAATGACGTTGACGGCAAACATATTTGACCAGTCATCGACAGACCCAGTAGCAATCGATGCAAGCGGCATATTAGTTCCTGCGTTGTTGACCAGCGCGATCAGGGTTCCGTTTTGCGCGGCATAATCGGCAGCCTGCTGCTGGACCGATTGATCAGTGATATCGCCAACGACAGGAAGAAACTTGGCAGCTGTTTGGAGCTGGGCCACCTCCTCCGACAGGGTGCTGAGAGTGTCGGCACTGCGAGCAATCCCTACAATAGATACATTCTTGGACAGGAGATGAAGCGAGGTAGCCTTGCCAATTCCACGCGACGCGCCGGTAACGATAACAACTTTGGTGTTGCTGGAGGATAAAGCCATTTTAGAATGACAAATATTTGTTAACAAGGACAACACACGAGGGTTATATATGGTTAAGGAGGGAGGAAAACAAGATAGTGAAATATACTGGCTACAGAAGAGAGGTGGTTTTGCTTTCCTGGGATATGCTAGGAATGCTAGAGAGTTAATGATGGTGTTGGGATACTAGGGTACCTATGTTGGACTATTGAGTGGTCATGAAATGAAATAAACTAGGATTAGTAAAGAAACTAAAGGGCATCCTCAGGTACACTGGGAGAGTTGGCTGTAGTGTATCCCTAGGGGCTCGCGTAAGCAGTGTAGATCAAATTTAGGAGTCGGATCTAATACATCACATCCTTTGTGCCAATAGCGTTTGACATCACATGGACAGGTCTACAGCATACTATACTCTAGTGCAACAGCAAGATAATAGCGGGTTCAAAGCAAGTGGTGTTGTGAAAGCTGAAGCACCAGAACAAGTGTGTGAAGCCGGATATCCTTATATACCTGCACGTGGTGGCATAGGCGGCTCCGCGGTGAGCAGTTTAGCCAGACTAGTTACGAGTATGTAATGCCGTTACAGTTTGGACTCAAGGGGGCAAATGTTGTTCCTCTTCAGTTCATCGCCTTCAGCTCTTTGTATTTCCACTATAAAAAGGTAGTAGCCGATCAATCTTATTGTTGACAGTGCTGGTGGTGTGTATAGAGTAGAGCTCTGCAAGAAAGATGCAAATATAAAAGCATGCAAACACCCATGAGCGGTAGGGCTTCTGGTTGCAAAGGCTCAGGATAGAGATATAGGAGTGTAGCAGATCGTAAGCCAAGCAGTTGGATCGTGCTGCTCCAGGTGGGACTGAGCTGGATATTGCACGACGGTATGGAAGTGGCACGAGATCTCACCTGGGTTTCGATATGTCCAGGCAAGCATTCAGTTCATATGTGCACCATTGAAGCTTGTGCATCTTGATACAACGGAAAGCGGGGCTTTCCTCATGCAAACATGTACCAGACTATGCACACATCCATATCCGCCATTTGAATACATCCGTTCTTTGTAAAGTCGATCTCTTGGAAGCTATCAGGCTAACTGCCCTGCCAAGAGCTGCTTGTGTCATAGTCATTTATACTGTATTTTTTATTTTGAAACAGAGTCACTTGCACCTGGCTGCTGCTCTTTCTGCGACTCTTCGATCAGCTGGCGACGTCGCTTTTCGTACGCCTGGCGGGTAAATCCGCTCCACATGTACCCAGTAACGGCGCCGGTTGCTACATGAATATAATTAGTTGATATGGTATCCATAGCGGTATTTCTGGCTGGTCAATCTATATACGTACCAGCAGATGAGAACGCATTGGCTTTGCTTCCGAGGCTCAGGGCGCGGCTGCCAAACACCGAGGCGACGAACAGAGCGCTGAAGCCGTACAGGGCACCAAGCTTGCGCGACTCCCAGGAGATCTCGTCGTCGGTGAGGATCTTGTCTCTGCTGCCGATATCCATGTGTGGCTGGTGGTAAGTATGCGAAAAGTAGCTAAGCGACAGTGCGTGCGCCAAAGCCACGCTCCGAGTCCACCACGCTCAGACACTCTTATCAGCAGCGGTCGATCAATATGGTACTTGAATATTAAGGAATTTTATTATGAAAAAATCGGTGGAGAGCCCCAGTGCAGGCTGCAGCTTACTTGCTCGAGCTGCCCTCGGCCTCATCCTCAAACTCATCGTCGCTGCCGCCGTCGACCAGGATCGGGTACGAGATGCGGACACCAAAGATGCCAAAGCCCTCGAGCCATCCGACGACGTAGTGGCGGCCCGGAATGTGGTAGGTCTTGAACGAGTCGATGCTGGCGCCGGTAATCTTCTCCAGCTGGGCGACGACAGCGTTGCGGTGCTCCTTGAGCAGCTGCAGGCCCTTCTCGGCGCCAGCAAGCTCAATCTCGTTCTCCTCGAACGGAAGCTCCTCGTTGAGGTCGATCACGTCATCGGCACAGCCGCAGTCATCACCGTGCTCGTGCTCGTGCTCCTCATCATGGTCGTGGTCGTGGTCGTGCTCCTCCTCAGTCTCCTCGGCGGCGGCCTTGCCCTTGCCCTTGATGGCAGCCTCAGCGAGCGCCTTGAGCTCCTCCTCATCCATATCCTCCTCCTCGCCATCATCCTCATCCTCCTCGTCCTCCCACTCCTCGTCCTCCTCGTCCGAGTCCTCGTACATGCAGTCCATCTCGTGGTTGAGGGCGAGCTTGACAAACTCGGGAGCCTCTTCAGGCAGAGCAGCCAGCTCCCGCTTGTACAGGTGCTTGATATCAACATTGTACAGGCAGAAGGGACGCACGTAGATCTCGTCCTCGATGTCCTCATCGGCAACACCCTCCTCCTCGATCGCTGCCTTGTCCTCCTCCGACAGATCGTACTTGATCTTGCCGTCAAGCTCCTTGCACAGGGCGCGGATCTCGGGGTCGATCTTGGAGCGAATGACCATGGCGCGGTGGCGGAGGGCAGACAGGTTGTCGTTGTCGCCAAAGATGTGACCGATGGGCGACAGGTCGGCGGCAAGCTTCTCGTTGATGATGTCCTTGAACTCGCCCTCGTACTCGCCCTCGATGGCGGCAGCGATCACCTCCTCCTGCATCATATGGGCGATGAACTCGCGGTAGAGCTCGTCGTCGCTCTTGTCGAAGGTAATGTTCTTGTAGGACATGGCAGTGGCAAGTGTAGAAAGACCTGTACAGGGAATAAAAATGTAGAATTGAGAAGAATAGAGAAGAGCCGGAGCAGACTGCAGTGGCCCGGGCCTAAGTCGCTGGGCGGCTGCGACAAACACCAAAACAAATTTTTCTAAAGGTGGCAAATCCCTCAGTCAAAATTTTTTCCAAGGTTGGGGAATTGGGGGCACAGCTGTGGTGAGCTGGGAGCTTGAGTATAATTT